TAGTAATGTTCATTTTACCTCCATCTCCTTTATCTCCGGTTGCAGAGTTGTTGCTGATTTGTTTTTTGTTTGTGTCTACAGATTGTTTTCCAAAGATTTTAGATATGTCAGTTACACAGCCTACAGAGTCGGATCATTTACCTATGGTGTGTACTTTAAAAGATATTGTTACTGGTGGGGATTTTAAAGAAAGTTCAGTTACTATTACTTTCACATGTTCCTAAATATAAATTAAGCCCTTAACATGTTTCCTCTTATGTTAAGCATTTCAGTAGCGATATTTGTAAAGATGTGTTTGAAGAATACTTTTAATGTGAATGCAGCACTACACACGCTCAGAGATATAATATTATATTTAGCAAAGTCAGCTGTTGCCATTTCCAATGGATTTGCAATTAGGAACATATATCAGCCTCCATGGTTTGATAAGGAGTGTGATTTATTCAAGTCGGAGAAATACAGATATTTGGCTAAATTTAGAAGCTGCAAATGTGATTCTAACTTAAAGGAATATATTACTGTCACAAATATATATAAGAATTGTTGCACGCAGTAGAAAATGAACTGTAACTTAAAGCTTAATGAGGAAATCAATTTGTCCGGGAAAAACTGACTGTAAACACTTCTGGACGACAGTGGAAAAAAGCAATACAGGGACGGTCACAGAGAAGTTTTATATATATATATATATATATATATATTTTTGCAAAGTAACACTCAGTGTTACATAGTCGCCCAAGAAATAGTAATTTACATTTATCGATATACCCAGTTAGTGACCATAATCCCAAATTTGCAATGGTAAATATTGATCATGACCACTTACCAAGACCTTTGTTCAAAGGTGTCAGCCTGTTGGACTTTGATGTATGTTAATACTTCACAGCCATAGAGACTAGTTTTAAGAATCATTCTGAGCCATATTTTAACACAAGTGATTGGATGTAGGCCAGAATCATTCAGTCCAATAGATCTAAGTGAGTTTACATTCTGTCTTGCTTTCTGACAATACTTTTTCACTGCTAGTTTTGTTGAGAGGTTACTTGTAAAGAGAACACCCCATATACGGTAGATTCTGATAAGGGGATTAGGATGTTACCAATGCTACAGTGGACGTTTACATCATAGCCTTTTCTTTTGCTTAAAACGATGATGGTACTTTTTTGATGGGTTATATGTTAGACGCCATTTAGAAGCGTGTGAAGAGACAATATTAGTGATACCTGTAGGCCATTAGGAGAGTGTGCTTATGAGAGTAGTATCGTCAGCAAGCAAGACACTTGGAACGTACATACAAAAGACAGGGATACCACAGCCAGCTTCTCTTAAACATGTAATTAGGTCATTAATAAAAATGAGAAAAAAACAAGAGGATATAACCCTCCCTTGTCAAACACCTTGTTTGACCAAGTACATATCTGACCTCTCGCCGTGGTATGCAACAAATGATTTGCTATTGGTGTAACAGTGATGTAACAGTTTCCATGTATTACCTCTAATACCAAGTTCATGAAGCTTATAGAATAAACCATCATGCCAAATTCTGTCGAATGCTTTTGCATTGTCGAGAAAGGCTGGAAAGACAGGGGAAACTCTATGGTTATAGTATTGTATACTCTCCATGAGAGTGAACACAGACATTATGGCTCCATGCTCTTTTCGATATCCAAATTGTAACGTATCAAGAAAGTCCGGATTTGATTTAAGCAATTTATTTTCAATTCGTTTGAGCAAGAGCTTTTCAAATAATTTACCAAGGCAAGATATTAGTGTGATACCTCTGTAGTTTCGAGGGTCGGTTTTATCATTTTTACCTTTGTATATTGATATTACCATTCCAATACTATATTCGTATGGGACATATTGAGATTCAATCATATGATTGAATAGTTTACATACATAATTAATGAATACATCACCTGTAAATATGATATTCTCGTTTGTAATTTTGTCGGGACCTTGGGATTTGTTTTCGCTTAAGAGACTTAACAGCATCCTTTATCTCATCAAATAGAAAGTCTTTTTCTAGTTCCTCATCATAATCCTCAGTGCTGCTATTGTCAATTTCCTGAAACCAATTGAGATATGTGATTTTGAAATCATCATCAAATGTTTCTGACTCAGCTAGGTCGGTATATTTTACATACTTCAGAGGGCGTTGAGCCGCTCTCGCCTCCGTAATCAAAGTGTAGATACATTTGCAAGTACTGCCCTTTGCTTTCGGACAGTTTTGTAGAAAGAGTTTACGTCCAATTCAGCTAATAATTTAATTTCTTTTAACATTTCTTTTATGGGATCTTTTATTTCCGAAGCAGACATCGGAATTTTCTTTTCTCATCTTTATAGGCCAAACGTTGTTCAGAGTTCACGAGGTTTACCGGAGTTGATCCATGCACGCCTAGCTACACGCATATCGTAGTGAGCATAATTTAGGCAATTAGTTTTCAAAAGGTTTTAGGTATGGTTTGTTATTACTGGGAGGTATAGAATTTGAGGAAGCATACAATAGAGCAGAGCTTATCATATCATTGAAGTGATCTATATTGTCTGATTGTTTTAAATCTACATGAGAAAAATTCCGAGAATACATAACGTCCTCGAATAGTCTTTGGTAAGCGTTAATGTCATTTTCATTAGCTAATATATCCCCAAGTGACTGGCTTGTTTACTTTAGGGTTCTACTTAACCCTATACAAGGAACTGATTATAACAATACGTTTGACTATGATAATAATACGAACTGACTGCTTTCAACATCCAGTGGTGTTAGATAGGGCTGTATTGTAAGTCCTTTACTCTTTATATTCTTCATAAATGAGCTTGCAATTGAAGTACAAAAATAGTAACAGTCATGGATATTTGTTACAGAAGAAATTCTAGACATAATGCAACTACTCTTTGCTGGTGATGTTGTAATGTTTTCTCTCTTTTTGTAAATGGCTTGCAAAGACAGTTAAATGTCTTACAATCCTATTGTACCAAATGGGGATTAGAAGGAAATTTTAGCAAACCCAATGTTATGTTTTATAAAAATGATGGTGTTGTTGCAAAATGGAAAATGGTTTCTTGGCTCATCTGTCTTAAACCTAGTCACTTATTAATAATAATATTAATAATAATAATAATAACGTTGTTATTATTATTATTAATCACTTATTACAAATAATTAGGTCTTATGTTTTCTTCTATACTGATCTCGTCTGTGGTATGGTATGGTATGTGAGCAAATAGCTACCTAGGCAAATAAATCCATTATGCCCCTATATTTTATTAGCGAAAAAATAGATTTGTATCTTTCCTCACATTGAGTTCCATTTAAATGGAAAAAATATGCCTGTTCTCCTATACTGCTCTGAAATATGGAGGTGCTGTCTAATAAAGAGAATACTAAACTGTGATTGAAAAGGTCCATACTTCATATTTACTAGTTGTTGGTAAGTTTGCTTCTAATAAGGCAATCCAAGGTGATATTGGTCGCAGTGGCATTTGTGTAGACAGTCAATTAAGGGTAATTAAATATTGGATTTAGTTACTAAGAATGTCGCCACATAGATATCCATAGCAGTTTTATAAAATGTTAAAGATACTTGATGATAAAGGCAAGAATAATTGGGTTTCAGGTGGGTGTTAGAAATTTATTGTTTGTTACCGGCTATGTATGGGTATCCCAAGATGTTGGAGATTCACAATTGTTTGTATTTTCATTTACACAAACTTTGAAGGATATACTTTGACAACAATGGCACTGTGATATTTCTTCATCACCCTATCTCAGTAACTACAGTAACGTGAAACCATTGTTTCAAACGGGAAGATAATCGATAAGAGTTTAGATAGAGCTTATGATAGATTCGGAATTTCTCTGCATGACTTTAATGTAAATGTATGTCATAGATCCAAAATAGTGATAGCATGTACATTCATGTAAACACTGTCGTTTAGGGGAAGTAGAGGGCGTCTTAATAATATGTGAAACATGTTCTAATGTAAGGTATAAATGTCTGCCTATGGTGTAGGATAGATTTAAACACCGTTAGCTAATGATAAATCTTTTAAACTCAAATAAATCCAGATCTGATCCATGCTGTTTCTGTTTATAAAATGTCATCAAATTTCAATATGTACATGTATATCACGGGGCAAATGTTAATTTGTTATCTGCATTTGTACAAGGCGCCTTGAGCCTGAAGTACTGGAAATATACTGTCTGTCTGTCTGTCTGTCTGTTGATTATTCCATGGAATTGAGCAGGATGATGGACTCTGGACGGGGCAGTTGAGTAATCCGCAGATTGAGCAGTTCCTTAATCTACACACGACATATAAATTCCTACGCCACAGCGACTAAGTCAAAGTCGGCGTTTTGTCAGGCAAATCAACAGTCGTAAGTGTAATGAAGGTGCTGACGACACAAAGATGGGTTTAAGTAACACTCTTATTTAATAATGAGAGTAGTAAAAAGGTACGAAAGACCCGGCCGCTGCATAAGGCCGATATTAACATATAAAACCTCAAATAGTGACATAAAGTGATGTTACAAAGAGGCACCATATATATACGTTTTGAATGCCACAGTCTTGTGGCTGAAATATTGAGAAAGTTTAATAGAAACTAAAATTTCGTTTCTGCCCCTTGATAAATGGTCTCACTTAACATCTGCCACCCAAATTTTAGCACGCTTTTCTTACCATATATTACCACTTCACATCACAAAAAAACACGTGAAGATCCTGGTAAGAACCCAACCCATGCTTGTCGTAAGAAGCGACCAACGGGATTGGGTGCTCTGGCTCACTGACTTGGTTGACACGTGTCATCGTATCCCACTTGTGTAGATCGATGCTCGTGTTGTTAATCACTGGATTGTCTGGCCCAGACTCGATTATTCACAGACCGCCACCATATAGCCTGGCATATTGCTGAGTACGGCCTTAAACAACAGCCAACCGAACACAAAAATACACCCGTTATGAGTCGATGTCTGGGTCAACAAGCACTTACGTTCCTGACAGCCCGTCCCAGTGTATCCATCCTTGCACCCACTCTCACAGTATCCAGTGATTTTGTCACACACCTCAGATGTGTTCCTACAGTAACACCAGGTTCCGCAGTCAGGCCCGAAACTCCCGTCAGTACACTCTGGAAAGTCACGAAAATACATATTGGCAGTTTGATGTAACTGATTAATATCACATTCACAAATTATATCATAATCGAGATTATTGTAACAGTAAATTTCAACTTCAATTCAACACACAACAAATATGTAAAGTTCACTTACATCATATTATTCTGCAAAATATTACTCAAACTCAAACTCTAACTGACACCAGGGTAGTTTTGCTGCTGTGTGCTGTTGGGTTAAGAATAGGTGTCTGATAGGTCGTCCGGTTCTATAGCCGGTCGTATTTTCTGTTCGACAAAGGACGAAGAAGCCACTCTAACTAACCAGCCACTTCACATGAACAGATGGATCTTGTCTTTTCTGAGATCTGAGAACGAATGTATCGTCCTTAGCTGTTGTCACCAGACAGTCACAATATTTCCTCATGCCATTATTTTACCATATATTTCCACTTCACAGAGACTGAGGATGTAGTCCGAGCCGACCAGTGTTGGCAGCTGGACAGTGACATGTTGTCCACGTGTGGGTGTGTCACAGCTGATGTTGACAGGGGAGTTGAGACGGTTGGTCGAACTCCATTGATAGCAGACCCGGTTATGGTCTACCCTACCAAAAAAGCCTTGCATTAGTTCTAGAAACGAAATTCAATTTACATTAATTCGTCAGTGGTATAAAGTGGTTGGTTCAGTCGACAACTAATGGTGGGGGTAATATTGTGTAAGTTAACTGTGTATTTAATGCCAGTAGGACTCATGATGGAAAATGAAGGCTCAAGCGATTTCAACTGTGTATGAAGCATGTGATAATATACTTCTTATCAAAAGTTTAGACTCACTAGTGTAAATATAGCCACTTACTTCAGGCAACTGTTCTAAACTAAATTTTACAAAATATTCCATATTGTTTAAAGGTACAGTTTACACATGAACAGATGTTTTGTAAAACAAATTCTAAACGTTGAAAAGAATATTGTCATGAGTTCAGTAAAGGATAATAATCAGTGAAAATTGGCGAATTCTCAACACACCTTTTACACCAAAACACAGCTGTTCACATGCAGTATATTTGCACATGCTTTTCAGCAATTTGATGCATGATCCTGGCGCAATTCATCTGCATAAAGTTTGCAGTTGGTTCCCCATAGTTAGTGGAGAAACAATCTTCGATGTAACCATAAACATATACATAACATATAGTGAGTGTTTTAAGTGAGTCTAAACTTTTGAAAAGAAGTATAGTATAATATGCGCTGTAGACTACAGAGACGCTTGTAGATTTTTCGGCATTAGATGACGGGTATGAATGTTTAATTGCACCATATTTCTATGGGAACATCATCTACCTATATTTTCCAAAATGATAGGGGCAACGTCGTTCCAATTAGCACACTGCCAGATTAAATGTTTTGGAAAACAAAGATAAACGGAAACTGCGCACGGCCGTCTTCAATTTCGATTAAATTATTCATTGTCAATGAACATGTTACATTCCCCATGAATTGACAAATTGCGTTACAATAATATGAATGGATCGCTGACAATCAATGACGATACCTGGCAGTGGCGTGTCCTGTCCTACTGGCTGTACCGCCACTCTCACTGCTTACATAAAATAGTAATGTTGGTTGCCTGATAGTGACAAGTTGAAATTCCCATGGAACTGAATGTAGTAGTGTTATGAGAGTGTGTCTTTTGTTAATTAAGATGTCACTTTGATTAACTTTTCATTATTATGGGTCACAAATGTTTAAAGTGCTGAGTGTAGTTTGAACTCGCATCTTGCTTAGACTGTGTAATTTCGCCTATTGAGAGCGGGCTGAGGAGCTGTGCTCGGGGGTTATGTCCTTATTGTTATGCTCCCGGTTTTCTGCTTCCGGTGTAAGACTTTCGAGAGAGTTCTACATGCTCGTAGTGTGATCTAAATGGCCATAATGATGCGTAGCTACTGCTAGAATTCTCTGTGATATACATACGGATTGGTTGCTGAGATGTTCGACAAGACTGTAAGGAAACTCTTTAAAGGCAGTTTTAGGATGGTGTAGTAATACAAGAACCATCTTACATGTCTTATGGATAACAAGCTATTGACTTAGTTTCACAACGTTCCTGGGTTAGTTCTCTTTCCCTTTCTTCAGGTGGATAATGATCATAGTGAACAGTACAATATACATGTATATCATAAGGATCAAGACTCCGGTGATGATAGATATTTAGTTGATATTTTAGATTTGTGACCAAGTATTTTAGATATGTGACTCCATTATTTTGTATTAGAAATCTGTACTGTCATTTATTGTAACCTTGCTCATTGTTTATTCAATATATACTATCCCCAAAAAGAAACACATAGGCAAGAAATCTGTTGCGAAAATGTTATATTTTCGAACATGTATAACTCTAGACTTTGTGCATGCATTTTTACATCAGTTTAGCTGAAGGTAATGTGTATACAACCAAGTAGATAATTTTAGACAACGGAGAGACGTTGGGCGCGATGGTGGCCACGTAGCACGGTCCCGACGTCGGGTTTCCTGCCTCTCAGTCCAACCTCCGGTTTGACCGGAGATCCTCTGAAGTCCAGACACCTTGGCTGCTGTGCTCTCACCCGTGGCAGTACGATTACGCAAATGTAGTACCCGGATGTACCGATCTTGGGCTGCAGTGGTGACTCGAGGCCTGATTTCTGTACGGGGACGGTCATTTGTTATACCTGTTTGGTAGTAAGGAGCTGCAAGCCGTGATATCGTGCTCAGTCTAACATTCAGACGCCTGGCAACAGAAGATTGCTAATCTCCAGCGTGAATTCTTTCAATGGCAATGTTCCGTGTGGAAGCGTCAAGACGTGGCGTAGTGATTTGACCTTGAAACTCCTATAAAACGGATGCCGATTTCCGAAAGTAATCTGGATTTTATAGCCAGACAGTGTTTCAATCCTTGTAAGAAATCTCATCAAAATCAATATTTGCAGGTGAAGTCGATTTTCACTTGTGCAGTTGTGTAAAATCATATTATCAACACTTTTGTTACATATTTTTGACGATTGTTTGAACACAATAGGTAATTAATAGATTTATAAAACTACAAACCGCCTATGCGTTTCTTCTTTTGGGAAGCATATTGCTGAATATTTTAGACTAAGTCTTGTCTGTGTTCTGTTTTGTTTGTTCAAAGGCGACGCACAAACCTTTTGTCACGGCTATTCCTAAAACGTAACAAGTATACACATGGACAAAAGTATCGCAACACCCCATATTTTCACAGTGTCAAGATGATACTATTAACCATACCAAAAGAACTTTCCCTTACCGCAATTAAATGATCTATCTGGATACATTGACCCGCAAGGAATAATGAAGTAGCAAACACAAATGTCAAACGCAAAAGAACGAAAAAGTTTATTCAGAGAACCAAACGTGGCAAAGCATGACTCAAACTGACACCAAGGTAGTCGTGCTGCTCCTCTGAGATCTGAGAAGGGATGTATCGTCCGTATTGTATCGTATTTTAGGATTTTACGTCGGCGTATTAAGACACTTTTTGTTTGAGTGGCATTCTAGAAGTTGGTGGTATAGAGATGACACAACTTTATGGATGATCAACTTCTTTATTTTAACAATGGCGACGTTTCGGAAACACACTACAAAACAACAACAGCCTAAAGGTGTGGTCTACAAATCAGCTGCGACTGTGGCAGCAACTACATTGGTGAAACATCCAGACCACTCAACATACGCATCAAAGAACATCAGACATCAACAAACAATGGAGACACTAAATCAGCCATTTCGGAACACATCACCAAATGTCCTCAACACAACATTAACTGGGACACTGTCACAACACTTACAAACAACAAACATGACTACACCCAGCGTAAATTGGCCGATGCATTACAAATACGCCGTTTTAACCCCTCTGTTAACAGGGATCAGGGCTATGACATCCCACCAGCCTACAACCACCTAATCAAATATAATTACCCACTCACCCAACCGTGGCTTCTCATCACATCCCTCGCCACTGGCTTCCAACTGGGGAGTGGAGGATCAGGGCGGCGTAGTCCAATTTAGGCAGTATAAGCGTATGTTGATGAGTGTGTGTTTGTCGGCACCCCAGTTTGTGCCACTGATGGCTCTCATTAGGTTGAGATCTTTTTGACGTGAGTTGACCAAGTTATGGATGTGGGGCGTCCATATCATATGTTGGTCGAAAGTAACTCCTAAGAATTTTGCTTTCTTTTTGAATTCAATTGTTTGGTTATTTAAGTGCAGTTTGGGTGTATAATTTTGCATAAGTTTGGTTTTGAAGATAATGCCCACGGATTTTTCGACATTTATGAGGAATCCCCACTGTCGGGCCCAATTTTGGATATGATTTAGCATTTTTTGACATTTTGTGGAGACTTGTTAAATAGAGGTAGAAAAGGTCCAGAAGGAAATGTCATCTGCAAATTTAGCTTTTGAAATTTCTGGCCATTTATCTGGGAAAATATCATTGATCATGAAATTAAAAAGTGTTGGCGATAATATGCTGCCCTGGGGGGTCTCATTTTCTAGGGGGTGGGGGTCCGAGAGGGTGTTGTGAGATTTGAGGATTATGTGTCTATTATTAAGGAAAGAGTGAATGAAATTTAGAATTCTTCCGTGAATGGCATATTTTTGGAGTTTTTGTATGAGGCCGTTGTGCCAAACCATATCAAATGCTTTACTAAAGTCAATGAAAATGGCCATAGAGTATTGTTTTTGTGCATGGGCTACTTTAATATCTTGTTCTTAATGTAAAATATGGTCCAAAGGTTGCTGGTTTGGAGTAAAGCCACTCTGGTCCTCCTTGATTAGGTTTTTTGAAGAGATAAGGTGTTTGAGTCTGTTGTTATTATACTTTCTAGAGTTTTACATAAATGAGAGGTGAGGGAGATGGGGCGATATGAATCAGGCTCATTGCTGGGTTTCCCTGGTTTGAGGATTGGTACCACCTTGGCTGTTTTCCATGTATTTGGTATAGTACCTGTGGTCCAGATATGGTTAAAGAGGGTAAGTGTTAAGTTTTTCATGTTTGGTGTAAGTTTGTTGAGTATAGTGTATGTAATGGTATCTGGACCTGGGGCTGAGGCTGTCTGTTTGTTTTTTTAATGCAGAATGGAGTTCGTGTATATTTATGATTTTATTTATGGGTGAATCTGTATGGGGTGGTTGTGGGGTGTATGGAGGATGATTTTTTATAGTGTTTTGGAAGGAGGGTGGGTAGTTTGTGGAGCTGCTTACGGTCGAAAGCAAATGCATTAGCTCTGTCTTTCTTTGTGGCTAGGTCTGGAAAGTTTGGAGAAATAGTTTTTTGGAGATGCCCTTAATGGCCTTGAATTTATTCCACGTGGTTCTGGAGTTTCGATTTGGTAGCTTAAGGGTAGAACAAAATTGTCTCCAATGGTCACTTTTTGCTGCCTGGATTAATTTCTTGGTTTTATTTCTTAATCGTTTTGCCAAATGTAATTTCGAACGGTCCCTTTTAGATTGGTTTAGGGCCCTTTTTCTTGCCTTTTCTGGCTTTAATGATTTCAGTGCTCCACCAGGGGACTGTTTTTTTGTGCAGGGTTATACCGTAATGTGGGGATGCATTTTTCTGTAATATCTA